AGGAGAAAAGACGAACTTAAAGAAATTCATTGAATGAGAAGAGTTCGCAGGGATTTTTTTTTTTTTTTGGTGAAAGAACGTTATGTGGAGAGGGAAAGAAGTGAAAATTAAGAATATATCACTAGAAGGTTCCCATGGAAAACAAAGAAAGATTTAATAAGAAAAGTTTTAGGATCAGTATAAATAAATTACCAAATAGCATCTATGTTTTTTCTTATATCGAAAACAATATCAGAATAAAACTACTAAACGCATTTTTCAGAAAGAAATATTAAAAATGTTTTCATCTTTATTTTCATACGGAAAACAAAATCATTTTAGAACGAGTGCTTATAATTTTTTTGTAGGTACAGTAGATCAGTAAATCTCTCTTTTTTTTTTTTCTTTTTTTTTTTTTACAGTAGCAGCAGACTAGTAAGCCATGAATATAATTGTGAACGCACGCACGGTAAACTTAAATTGCACAAAGTGAAAACGCAGGTCGAATTCACTGAATTTGCCTAAAAGAAATGCCAAGGACTTTCAAACTAGGAAAGTGAGAGTCACATATAAGCTCTTTTTGGGGGTGAGAAAACGTGCATATAATATATGAAATATTTAGACTAAAAGAAGTTGATAAAATGGTTTTTGCCAATCTATTACTACTGTGTGAAATACAAAATATGTAGATGTACAAAGCTAATGCTATCTAAGGAAAAAGTAATTACATAAGGAAAGAATTACTTGATGAATACAAATCTTCTACGGAAATACATAAACTATCTAAAATGAAATAAATGAATTACAATTGGTCAGGCTTTTGATTCTCCTTCCTTATTTATGCTATTTTCCTTGAGAAGCAGAAAAAAGGGGGTCATACGATCATGGTCGTTTCTTCAACATCTTATTTACTGATCATCACTATCACCTTATCTTCTTCCTTTGATTTTGCTGAATAATTAACTGATCTTATCCTGTTCATATCTTCGGGTGGATATAATTTTGTTACCATAACAAGGTTAGCGACAGAGGCAAAGTAAGTTGTCCAAAACCGTGGGGTTATGCAAAAATGACCAAAAGTGAGTTACGTGCCTCAAATATGGCGGCTACCGTTACTGGGGTGTAACGTGGACAGTCTGAGTTCTTATTGTTGGGCAGGTCAATAAACTGTCAGCATCAATTAAAATCGTACACGTGGATGGATAGAATATGTGGTCCCTGTCAACATTTCGTGGGGGTTAGCCACGCGTAAAAGGAATTTCCATCCACCCATGTGCCCCTCCTTTTTGCCTTAGAACCTGTCTTTATCACTATTCTCTTGTCCATCAACAAAAATAATAAAAATTTGAAACTAAAAAAAAAAAAAAAAAAAGAAAGAAATTTGCCAAAAGATCCATTGACTTGGCTAGCTTGAGTCCAAGCCAATGTTCAGTGTTCATTTCTTTCACGGTAAAAAGTGCTAGTGTGGTGGGAGGAGCTGGGGAGACTGTAAAATTTCTTGGCTCTCTTTTCTTCTTAATTCTTTATCTCATTTTTTTTATTGTTATTGATTTATGGTATGAAATTCTAATTTTATGGAAGTCTTGTGCATGCTCATATATTTAATCCATATCTTTCTCACACATAGTGTTTATGAGTTTGTGTTTGTAACTCGTGTATCTTGACAAATATAACAACAAAGTTCATGTCCTTCATTCAAAATCATTGGTAGCTAGTTGCCAAAATTTTGTTTCCCAATTAAAGATCACTTGAACAATTCTCATTTTTCCTTTTCGACTTTTGGGAATATGAATTGCATTCCAACGGGTTCTTCTTGTACTCGTCTTGTCTTTTTCTTTTCTTTTCCTTGAAATGATTATTGTTGAATAAGGAATGACTTCAACTTGTGGCCACAAAGTACTATATATCCAAAATAAACATGAAGTATTAGTAAAATTATCTCATTCTAATCCAAAAGACTAGTTTATCAGTAGACCCCAACTCACTCAACTCTTTTTTTTTTTTTTTTTTTTTTTTTGAAAAAATATATTTAATTTCTTTTTTTGGCAACAGTACAAGTTCAGCATGAGCAATGGATGGGTACATGAGAGATTAATACCCTTGGGATGTGTTCTATATCTATAGTACAAGATAAAAAGTAATAAAAGTAACTGAATAAAAACGCAAGGCGAAATGTGAATAATGCTTGTAGAATGGTACTTTCTCAAAATATCCAGTAACTATTATTAATTTCTATTACCTTGCAATGCAATGATAGAATGCACTTTGATGCTTCTTTTTCTACCATAGTGGGCATGAGGGCTAATTAGTTGATGTAGACGAGCTAGACTTTTGAGCCTGTGAAGTACGTCAACCAACTTGGTCCCTACATGTACAATCTCTGTCTTTGATGAGTCTTTACATGTGTGTGTGTGTGTCTGTGTTGTATACATACATACATATATATATATATATATATATATATATATATATGTATGTATGTGGTTAACCCTGGACCTTACATTGTGATGATGGTATAACTTATTAGTGTTGGGAAGCCTAGAAAATCGGGAGAAATTTATTTCCTTTTTTTTCTCTTTCAATTAGCTTTTATCCTATAATATTTATTTTCAGCTATATATAAATACACACGCGCGCGCGCGAAGGAAAGACAAAGTGGAGCGTGCTTTCCCTGTCAATATACTTTCCCCGGAGATAAAATGGCCTAGCCACAATACATTCCACCTAGCTACACTTTCAATTCATCATCCAATTACACCAATATGCAACAAGGAGAAGAAAATAAAAGGGTTAATTGATTAGAAAGCGACCTATGATGTTTGATTGGGCGGAAAACAAGGGAAATAGTTTAGTTTAATTCATTTTCTTTTCACTATTCTTTATCTATAGAAAGAGGACCCGAGAATGAAAGCTCTAGCTCTTTTGCAAATTTTTGTCTTTTCCTGCTTCTTCTTTTTCTACCTTCTTTGGTTAATTTCGCGAAATATATCATCCTCGGATAAACCACTTAATCTTTTAATATACTTTCTACTTATAATTATCCTATATCTTTTATAGGCATTTTTTCAAGTTTCAAATATTCACCATTTGTGTTTCATCGTGATCTACATAATATTATTTGGACAAAGTACATTCATTTATAAAATTTAAGATTAACGAGATGCATTGTTTCAAGAACAACATATTTTGTGTAACCAAAACTACTTAAATATATATTATATATCTGAAGTGAAATTTTAGTAGGGAACATTTGTATAAATATAGCTCTAGAGAAATTAAAAACCATATTATAGACAAAAGGACAAGGCTAGCTGTAACATATAACATTTTGTAACCAAAGAGAGAATTAAGTGGAAAGCAAAAGACGTCAACAATGACGACATCTTCAGTGGTATATGGCCCTCAAACTGCTCCGACACTCTCCAAAATTTTATAATTAATCTCTCTTCCTTGCTCTCACGCACTCACATACTTGGTTCGTAGAAAGAGAGAACTTTTTAATTTGTGTTAGTTAAGCATATCACCACTAGCAAAAAGAGATGTTAAAAAAAGTACATTACTTAAATATAAGACTTGTGATAATCATATAGTAATGTAACACGGTAAAAAAAAGTGAGATCAAATATGTCCTATATTGATTGTAACAACTTTGTTGCACTGCATAAAAGTAGTTGTAGTATTTTATTTTATTTTTTTTCTTTTCAATTTTTTTGTGAAAACCGTGGAAATAGTACCTCTTTTTGGTTAAAAATGGTATTTCACATTTTCCTTCAACAATACGTAATTACAGCAGAGTCGTATTTGACGAAAAGCTCAAAGTTTGGAGAGCTGGGGTCATCACATTTTTCACCCATCTCGAGCCACGCATGGAGCTACAATTAATTTATTTATGAATTATTTTATTTGTATAAAGCCAAAGCTAAGCTAAGGGTGAAAAAGAAAAAAGAAAAAAAAATAAATAAATAATCAAGTGTGGCTTTGGCTAGAGAGAGTGGTATATAGTATAGACATAGAAAGAGGAGAATACCACCCAATTGGACAACAAAAGTGATTTACGTGTCCAAATCCAGAGGCCAACCGTACAACATATTTTATTGACTTCGAGGTGGTCAGGTTTGGGATCCCAAACCCAATCCTATTTTACAAAAATTGTGCGTTGGGTTAAGCTTTTTGAGGGACTCTTGCTCATACCATAATGACCCTCTCTTTTTTTATTAATTACCTGATCAGGAAAGCCTAACCCAACCATACTTCCTGTTGCTAGGGTGGGTTGCAACCATTTTGGTTGCCTTTTTTTTAATTATTTATTTATTTAATTAACTTTTTATTTTTTTTTTGTTTCAATTATGGTCCACAAGAACCTTCTCCAATTAGCAATATATCATCCTTTTGTGCTAATTGTGCTTTTAAATTAAGTAACACCACTTTGCCACTTGTAAAATTGTCTCTCTTTTTTTTTTTCATTAGGGAAAGTAGTTGTGAAGTTGTCTACAAACTTAACAACATGGATAATGTACGAGATTCACTTACTTCCTTTCATTTGTTATCCATCGTAATTATCGTTGATGTATCGAATTATTTTGCAACTTGCCTCCTCATTATCCATCAAAGCATTACGGCCTTGTCTTTTCCCCTATACATAAACATGATCCGGATTTCCCAAACAAATTAAGCAAATTTATTCAATTTTGTACACAGCATATATACACTTGTAGGAGATTTGGGGGAATTTATTACGTGTGTTACCAAAATTACACGGATAATAATGCCTCTTTTGAGTAGTTGTATAGGCTATAGAGACGTGTATGCATTTTCTCATGCATGTTTTAGGAAAAAGAAAAAAGAAAAACTGCATGCAACGTTTTTTTATTTAAATGCACAAGAAGATATGATGGCATATTCCGAAGCATTATGTACAAACTTAAAGGGCATTTTGGTAAAACCACTATCTACGAAACTTTTCCTTCTCGAAAACAAAAAAGGTGGGAGGACACCTAATCTCATTTACCCCTTATAAAAATGGTCCGTGGGTCTTCATCCAAGCCATTCACTGCCTTCAACAGTGAACAACACAACTCAACACATCACTACTCATTTTGAGAGCCAGAAAGTGAGAAGAACAAGAGAGAGAGAGAGATTAGAACAAGAGAGAGAGAGAGAGAGAGAAAAAACACTTGACGATCAACATGAACAACCAAATTGACGAAGACCACATGGCACTAATTTCCCAGCTCTACCCGGGTGTCTACACCCAAATGGTACCTCAACAAGGTTTGTCTGATCTTCACCAAAAAAATATACAAAACTCTTCTCTTACACACTTACACATTACACCAAAACAAAAAAATTAAAAAAAAAGGGTACACTTCACCTTTACAATCATGAGCTTAAACAAGTTTCTCTTTTATTTTCATAGGCGAGGCGAAACCTAGACGCCGTCGAAGGAAGAACAAGAGCGGTGTTAAAAAAAGGGTTCACCCTTCACCTTTACAATGAGCTTAAACAAGTTTCTCTTTTATTTCCATAGGCGAGGCGAAACCTAGACGCCGTCGAAGGAAGAACAAGAGCGGTGAAGGCGGTGGCTGCGCGGCTGCGAAAAAGCGAAAGCTGAGCTCTGAGCAGGTGAATCTACTGGAGATGAACTTCGGAAACGAACACAAGCTGGAATCGGAAAGAAAGGACCGTCTGGCCTCTGAACTTGGCCTTGATCCTCGCCAAGTGGCCGTTTGGTTCCAGAACCGAAGGGCTCGCTGGAAGAACAAGAAGCTCGAGGAGGAATACTCCACCTTGAAGAAAATGCATGACAACGTCGTCGTTGAGAAATGCCGTCTTGAATCCGAGGTTCGATCTCTCTTCTCCCTTTCTTTTGGTTTCTGTGTGTCACTGTATTTGCATATGTTTTTATTATTTTTATTTTTATTTTTTTACGTATAATTTATATGTGTCTTATTCCGTCTCCCACGTGGAAGTTGTCTATGATATCAGTTATCTTATTTTGTCTATCTCTGACTTTTCCACTAGTTTTCTTTTCAAGGAAAACCCTTCATTTTTCTGCTATATACCTTAGGAGGTTTCTTACTAACCAAACAAGAGGACGTGATGAAAGAGGAAAGAGTTTTGAGTTATTTTCTTTGACTAGATCACATAGATACCAAGTTTTGGAGAAGCATGTTTCAACATGATTGATTTTTTTTTTTTTAACTTTTTCTTATTCCACAATTCACTGTTTTATTTCTTAAAATATACATGCCACGTGATATAGTGCCTGGAAAAAAAAAAAAATTAGTATTGTTCTCATCGGTTAAGTTGCTTAATGCCATAATGGCTCTTAAATCTTATCCTTTAAAACGAAAAAGGAACAAGTAAAAAATAAATAAAAATTGTGACCCACCACACATGAACGTGCATGAGCTCTGGGCTCGAAGAAAGCCATGCCACCTTGTTGGGCTTAGTCTATGAACAAACAAGAAAAGGAGGAAAATTTTTGACAAAGAACAGCTTACTGCCACCTCATTCGACAACAAAAGGTACTATGTGTTCCGGTCCTCTAGGAGGTTCGTACAATGTTGTTTTAAGGTGGTTGGTGTTGGGCTTTTTCCAAGGCCCACCATAGGGACCAGCACGTGAGGTTCCCACATGGGACATGGCCCACATAAACGTTGATTGTTCCTCTGCTTTTTTTTTTTTTTTTTTTTTGGCCCTTTGCCAATGACCTGGTCATATAGTATTTATTTTTCTTTCCAAGTAGTCTCTTTGCTAAAACAATTTCCTTTGGGCAATGTTGAAGGTGCTACAACTCAAGGAACAGATAATGGATGCTAAGAAGGAGATCCAGCGGCTGGCAGAGCGCGCCGAGGGGGTCTCGAGCAACAGTCCGAGCTCGTCGCTCTCGGTGGAAGCCGTGGAACCTCCCTTCCTAGGGGAATTTGGGGTGGTGTCTGAAGGATATGACAACATGTTTTATGCTGCCGAGAACAATTACATTCATGGGATGGAGTGGGTGAATTTGTACCTGTGAACTTCTAATTAGGAGTAATTTTTAGTCGTGTGTAGATATAGTGATAATATGTAATTTTGTAATTAAATCGTTCTCTTTTATCTATTATCTAGAACCAGCTAGCTAGTTTCAGCGTGCTTGACTAAAAGCCTTTAATCCTATATTAGCTTAATTTCTATATGACTTGCACCTTTTGACTAGAAAAATATTGGAGGTGGATTTGATCACTAGTGCTGTTCAGGCCTCAGTATTTTAATGTATATAAAAGTATTAGATCATGATTTGCCTCTTGTCAATGCTTTATGTCTTCGAAATTAAAATTTTAAACTAGAAGATCAGTGAAATTTAAAATCATGAAATATTTTATTGCTAATATAAGCAGCATAATTTGACCACCTGCTTTGTATTTTTCCTGATCTGCACGAATTTGCATTTTCCTTTATAAGACACGCACATTTCTCTCTTTTTAATAATTCCGTGAAACTACTTGAAAGTCATATTGTACTAGCCACTAATGTATCTGCATAACTTGCCTAAAACTGCTAATTAATACACTAATTTAACCTGCTACTCCTACAGCATAAGCGCATATTTTGTGTGAAACACATTCCAAAAATATCTTCGCTTAATTTTAGCAATATCTATATGCTTTGTCACATGATGCTTGTTATTGTACTACATCCGGCCTAATCTCGTAACACATATAAAAACACATAATTCCATAGTTATATCTATCCACTTATATTTAGATGTATTAAGATATTGGAATGGAAGCTTATGTAGTACTCATTGGTAAACATGTTACTCTCTAATAATACAAGAAATAGAATAGTACTAAGTAAGACTTTGAAATCCAGCAAAAAAGTATGACTTGACACCCTTATTGTTTGACTATCAAGTTTTGCGATAAAACTTTAACAACCTATAATTAATTAATAAAATATATATCTGACTGCAAACATATATATAGGCGTTGGACTTGGCATTAATTAACTATATATACAGTTGACAAGACAATATAATATAAGGTATTCAAGTTCCGCAAAAAGATGAAACTACGCGGATTACTTTCAACCAATGATAGTGTTGCAAAGGAAACATATAATCTCTTTACTTACCTAACTATGATTGTATCGTATTATTGATTGGAGTGCTGGGTTTGAATATATGATATGGAGATTTGATTATGGGCAATAATACACTACTAAAAAAAGGGGTTATGGACGAAAATCCCTCGCTATAATCCAATCCATGCAGTTAATACGCCTAATTTTTACAGTGATCTGTAATGTGTCATGAATAACTCCCGCTTTCTCTTTTTCCGACTAGTAACATTTTGTAATTAATATTATGAAGAAAGTGTCTTAAGGCTCTGGTAATTACATACACATATTTACGGCAACAAGCAATTAGGTAGGTAGAAATTAACCATGCTAAACAGCGTTTTTCATCAATAGAATATATTTAATGGAACTTTAATTTCTTTGTGGGTAATGATGAAAACATGGACAAATTAAAGGCAAGTCACAGGGCATGGTGATGCTGTTTGCCATTATTCTTTGTGCTTATTGTACTATAGATCACGTTGGTGAATTAATGCATTGCTTGCTAAGGTTCCGGACGGCGGACAATACATTGTACATCCTTATCCAGTTTCTTGGCAACCGAACAATCATTGCATAGTAGTCCCATATATGTACCACCTCAAACTTCAAAGTTGTATATATTGGGAGAATTATTTATATAAATGCTACCTAGTAAATATACAGACACATATATATAGTACGATAGATACATACATATATGATATATATATATATATGTGTGTGTGTGTGTATACATATATATGTAGTACAATACATCATGTGCATAATATGGGGAGTGAATTTAAAATTAGGAGATATCATATCGTTATTGTCGACAGAGATCATTTGAGAGGTGCAGAGGAAGAGGCTCGAGCCCCATGCATGTGTCTGCTGTACTGAGCCAATACAGTTGGAAAACAACTTATTAAAATTATTAAATACATAACCTGATTTTGATAAAGTTTTAAGAGAACAAATGATTGTGAAGATCAGTCGTGTGAGAGCGTACAATACTTTAAATATTTTAAAAAGAGAGGTTTCAAAAATATGTTTCGTCTGACTTAAAAGGAGAAATACACTAGAGTACATCATCTCTTCCAAAAAACATATTTGGCCGTCACAAGTACTCACTGTATATCACCTTACTTAATAATATGCATAACACACACACACACATATATATGTATGTATACATATATATATATATATATACACACACAAATATATATATATATATATAGAACATTTTAATTATAGTGATGAGGTTCGCCCGTCAGTGTAATAAGGTTTTCAATAAAACTAATTATTGAGGGAACCATTAGTTTTCTTTTAATTAAACTGTAGTTATTTCGGCTTTAAAAATATCTATGCATTGTTAGCATATTCCATCAGTTTTATTCGAGTAAGTCTATGAACAACGCTAGAAAGTTCATTTATCGTTGCCTAAGTTTTAGTCTACGACTTCTACCCAAAAAAAAAAAGGTCTACCACTGATCTTTCACCTACATGCATGACCTTGGTTCCTATAGATAGGGATCATATATATACACCCCTATTCACTGGTCTTACATATCTAGGTAGACCAAGTTGTTTTGCGGAGATATACCCTTCATTTCATGCCAGTGTGGATTGTCACCTAGTCACATATAAAAATTCCATTGACATTTGACAAAGTGTCCTCTAAACATCAGGATTAATGATTTAACTTAACCAAGCGTGGTAGATTAGGAGGAAAAAAAAAGAAGAAGAAGAAGAAGAAGAAGAACCGGGTGTGGTCTTCTAGTGATTACACGGAAGCATATTGATATATATATATAATATCAATATTTATATATAATTGTGGTCTTAATGCTACTTTAATATTTGTGTCATTATAATGCTACTTTAATATTTATCTATTGATAAATGAGGGCATCTCAGTTAGTTGTAAGTCGCTTTATCTAACTATAAGTTGAGGGTTTAAGTCATTCTGAGCTTCGTTTAATAGTAGTGGCATTCTTCTTGTATAAAAAAAATATATGTTTATCCATCGACGAGAGTTACTATTTTAATTATGTAATATTAATCAGACGGCTGTAATAAATTGGACAATTGATAAAAAATTATATAATAATTAATGAGATTGGAATCTTATCAAACTACATTATAAAATTTTTATATTTGATATTGGATAAACATTGCCATTGAAAACTCATTCATATATAACGTATTTTGAATTGTTTTAGTGAACTCCGTAATATTACTGAAATAATTGATAAGTTCATGACTAGTGAGTACCATTCAACTTGTAACTATTTTCATGCAAAAATGTTATCTTCTAATCAGATCCATTACCCGTATATATTAGGCAAAAACTTACAACATGTTTAGATTTGTTAGCTAACTGTTTTATTCAAGTTTATTTGATTTTTGGCGCAATGATCTTATCTTATTCAACATATGTAGTTGGACTTTGTATACTAGCTTTTTGCACGGTAAAATATTATAACTGGTGGGCTTTGTTTTTGCTTTTGTGTTTATTAGATGTTGATGTATCAAAAGGAAAAATATAATTTTACGATCTAGTCTCTTCACCCAAATTTCTTTGAAATTAATTAATAATAATTTTTTTAATGCTATCCTTTTAGGAAAAGAAATGTTCTTCATATGCTACTACATCAAAATGAGACAAACCCTCGGCTTAACTTACTTTTCTTTTTCTTTTTCTTTTTCTTTTTTTTTTTGCATAGATTTACATTTTCAACTTATATAAGTGTTTATAACGTATCATTTATATATACACCGCATAGAATTACGTAAGCAATCAACTAAACATTATATCCTATTTGAATAAAAGTATATCAATATATGATGAAGCACTAACACGTTCATGTAAGCCTTTCAAGCAAATATCATCATCAAGTAAAAAAATAAAGAAAAAAATAGAAAATTACTTTTAAGAGCGCATGAGTCTGGACTTTTACTTCTTATTCTTGATAAATATTATTTTATTAGCGTAATTATTTGACTAAAAAAAATTATGAATCAAGAATAAATGATAAAAATCTTAATTTATGTACTTTTAAACGGTATTTATCAAAATTATTCAATAATAAATTGATGTCATTTCTATTATTTATTTATTTATTGACCACATAAGCGCCTGAAATCATTTGGATTAGCAACTTGACTACGGAATAACTCCTGTTTTTCCACCATTTTTTTTCTTAAAAAAAATAAAACAAAAATATAAAAAAAAAAAAAAAACAAAGAAAGAAAAAAAAAATCCTAGTCTCGTAATGTCAAAGCTGTAATTAACTATATGTGTTTTGCAGACTCCAAGACTTCCATTATTCTAAAGAATATTTCCATTTAAATCAGAGCTCATACCTAAAAAGAAGAAAAAGAAAAACCCTTGATACCCTAAACGCATGGACACAAGTCAATCCAAAACTAACCAATTAAAAGAGCCCCATCAGAATATAGAGAAATGAAATCCATTTTAAAACCCACGTGGCAAGCTTAAACCCAGTGTTCCCTGGACGCCGCCGTAGACAATCCCAACCAAATATGCTCTCAAATGAGAAATGTACGACTAGTTTCCTAAGTTTTCCCTCTCGTTTGGCTCCCAGTCCCACTATTTTAAAACCCCTCCAAAGAAATGGCATAACATAATAAAGTCCCAAATTCTTTTTGAGTTTGATAACATAAGATCACCATTATTAATAATATTATTTTGGGATTTCTCCTGCTCTCTCTGTCTTTTCTCTCTTCAAACTCCTCTCACTTTTGTTTTGTTGTTTTCTTGAAAAACCCATTTTCCGTACTTCTGTCTTTTTCTTCATTTTTCTTTTCTTTTTCTTTTTTTTTTGTCCTTTTATTTTTTTTCCCCCCTGTGTAATACAAAAGAGAGCTTCTTTTCCAGCAATGGCGGAACAGCAACGACAGCGACAACAACAACAACATTCCTTTGTGGTGTCCGAGGAAGAGGAGGCTTCGGAGCTCTCATGCTCGTACTCCGTCGAGAGTGTCGGAAGCTCCTATACTGAAGTGGTTCCTCAGACCAACGATTTCTTCTTCAACATCGACCCAAGCTTACTTATCGATTATCGCTCCATCAAGCTTGGCAGAATCCTCGGCGAAGGGCCTAACTCCATCGTCCGCAAAGGATTGTGGGTCCCCATTTTTTCTCTTAAAAGCTTAAACTTGTCCAACATGTTTTTTTTTTTTTTTTAATTCCTTTTTTTTTGTGATGATTAGGTTACTCACTCGAATTGTGTGTATGCGCTTTAACTCGCAAAGTTCTTATCGTTTCTGTTAATTTTCTATTATATACTTATATATTTTGATATATTCGTTTATTAAAGTCTATGGTTTTACTTTAGTCTCGGAATCTTTGATTCTTGTCGGGTTTTAGTTTGATATGTGGGGTTTAAAGTATGGAATTTTTTAATGCAAATTCAAGATTTGTTGTTGTGTGTTGAAGTTTCTGTTTCTTTGATGTAAATAAAGCCCTTTTCTGATCATTAAATTTGAGTCTCTGTTGTGGTGGTGATGCATTAATGAGTAGAAATTTACAATGGCAATCAATCAATTTTTTTGCTTTTGCTTATTTATTTATTTATCGTAAGTTTCTAGAGTAGAAATTAAATTAGATTTTATTCGGTCTTGTTTTACAAGCAGAGTCTGTGTTTTTATTTAATATGAAACAACTAAATTTGTTTATATGCGTTACTGTTGTGCTTGTATTTTAGCATGAGTGTGCTTGGTCGTGGTATAACATTTGTGTGTAATACTCTATATTTTCTTAGAACCATTAGTGGAAGAAATTTATGGATTTTAAACTGAATTAGGCCATTTCTTAATCAAAATCTTTTTGCTATGAATTCATTTTGTAACTAGCAAAAACAATCTGTCTTCCTTTCGGCAACTATCATGGAAGTTTTTTTGTTCCTATATTTCGTATGAAGCTATATCTTGAGATCACACAAGATGAGGCACTGTAGCATTCTGTAGATTATGTTCCTATAGGTCTTAAAATAGATGCCTGTGGTTCTTTCTCTAGTTGGTCTATGCTTATCACCATTATAGTTAGGCTATGAAACTGAGTTTTTATAATATGATGAGCTTTTACAGGAAATTGAGTTGTAGATAGTATATGTAACCCCTGCCTTGATTAGGAGACACTGCTATCATTTACTGTGGATTTTCAATCTAGGGGATTCGGTGGAAGGTTCATCAGAACCAATAGCACCGTATTTCTTTCTCTCAATTTTACTTGAACTTGGCTCAGTTGAGCTTTTTATTGAAAGATATCTTGTTCAACTATGTATGTGGTTTTGGAAAGTTATAGGGGTCATATAGATAAGATGCGAATCATATGATCAACCGACTGCATTCACCTCTATCAAGAAGGCTGGGGTCACTTATGTGTAAGTAAAGTTATAAACTTTCATAACAAGAGTGAATGGAGAATGAGGAACAAGTTTTAAAGTAGTCCTGCTTTATAGTTTCAAACACTTAGCAGCGAAACTCCCGAGAAAAAGAAAATGAGTTCGAAGATGAAGAAGATTTTAAGATGAATAAGGTCTAAAGGTTGTCTATGGAAGCGATAGAAATTCCTTTTAGTATACCACAAAAAGTGAAGTGGAGGATCAAAAGAGATCGAGTCGAAGCCGTGACCAAGATATAGCACATTAATAAGTTAGGATCTGCCCCACGTGGAGCAGAATGACAGCCCTACATGTCCTTTTGTTGTCTGGCCTATGTTTTTGTCATATGTACACAAATATGTTGTCTTTGTCACTTGAATTCATAAAGTACTTTTTACGTTTGTTTTTTGCATGCATATGTTAGTCTGAACATTATTTTGTTCTACAACTGAGGAATTGTCTGTCCTGAATCTTGCTATTCTAAAGCTTGTGAGACTGTGTTTTAGGTTCAACTCCAGGCCTGTTGCTGTGAAGATTATACAGCCAGCCAAAATGTCGGAAATAAATCCTGAACGGAAGGAGAAGTTTCAAAGGGAGGTCACTTTGCTAGCAAAGATGAAACATCAAAACATTGTGAAGGTAGTCTAATTTATCACCCTAGTTATGTGTTCATTTGCCTATTAGCACACACATTTTTCGTCGAACTTTTCTTCCCAAACTCTCTACGTAAAAGATATCGATGGTTAACGATTGCATGCTATTGGTTTTAAAATAACTTTCTTGAATAAGCAGATCAATAATTGTAAATGGATTTGCTTCTGTTTATGTCTTCACTTTCAATTTTGTCGTCGCGATGTCTGTTGATTTCCTAACATGGGAACTCCGACATTCCTTAAAAGATTATTCGATTCATCCTCGCATTTAACGAGCTTCTTGGTTCTTTAAATTAGGTTCTTTCACTCTCTCTTTTTTTCCCCCCCAACAAGCACTTAAACAAGACTATATTTACTTCAAATGCATTCTGATTGGTAACTTGGTGGCATAATGCATATCAGTTAGCATGATCTGTATAATTTAATTCGTTTTGGTTTCAAGGTAATTCCAATATTTCCCGTAATCCTTCTTTCGGTAGTTTCATAGGTACCCTAATATAACTTAACCTTCAGTTACAAGAAATGTATATAAATTTTTGCCAACCAAACTGGCTTGAGGATAAAGTTATGATACTGTCATTTACTCGTACACTAATTAGTAGCCTATATGTATAGGATGCCATGTGATATGCGTTGCGGGGTGGGTGGGTTTCTAAAAGATGTATCTTACGCTGCAACTAGCTAAACTTATTTTGACTTATTTTTCTATTTCAGACCTCTCTAACCTTCTGCAAGAGTTGATGCATTCATGACATATTTAGCATTAGTTCCCTTAGTTCAGATCTGACAAGTTTTTTACTGAAATAGTTCATTGGTGCCACCGTGGAGCCGTTTTTGATGATTGTCACTGAGCTTATGGGGGGTGGTACACTTCAGAAGTATTTATGGAGCACTCGTCCAGGAGCTCTGGATTGGAAGGTTTCCCTTGGTTTTGCACTGGACTTATCTCGAGTTATGGAATACTTGCACGAAAATGGTGTCATTCACCGCGATTTGAAGCCAAGTAATTAATTTCTCATTTCACCTTAATCATGATAATCATTGACCTTATCTAATTAAACTCGGAGTATCTGACTCAACAGCTACCTCTCTTTTTTCCTTTACTGTTCTAGGCAATGTGCTTCTTTCCAGAGACAAGACGCGGATCAAGTTGGCTGACTTTGGGCTTGCCAGAGAGATATCAAGAGAAATGACTTGTGAAGCTGGTACTTACCGGTGGATGGCTCCTGAGGTACCTAAATCTTCGTCTACTTTTCTGATGCAGACATATTTATCATCGCCTCAGAAAAGAGAAAAGCAATATATATTCGTATATATATGTTAATAAATTATCACGCACATATTTTCTTTTATGGGGCAGATATTCAGCATGGACCCACTTCCAGTTGGAGCAAAGAAACAATATGATCACAAAGTGGATGTGTACAGCTTCTCAATAGTGCTTTGGGAGCTAATGACAAACCAAACTCCTTTCAAGGGAAGGAACAATGTGATGGTAGCTTATGCCACCGCCAAAGTGAGTCACGACAAACTCTTTTCCGCACCTCACTATGAATTAGAATCTCATGATCTTTATGATTTACTTGTGAAATGAATCTCTTCTATTTTTTTTATTTTTTTGTTTCCATTCTCCATTGTAGAAGGTAAGGCCTAGTCTAGTGGACATTCCGCATCAAATAGCGCCTCTTTTGCAGACATGTTGGTCGGATGACCCAAAGAGCAGACCAGAGTTCAGAGACATCACGGAATATCTTTCCAACTTGTACCGGACTCTTTTTCCGACAGAGGTCAGACCTACTCCTCCTTCTACTCCTACTCCTGTTGAGATGGAACATCCTAGTAACAACAGCAGCAGCGATAACAACAACAGCAGCAGCGATAACAACGACAACAGCAATAACAACAATGATAATTATAATAGCAGCAAGGATGACTCTCAAAATGATAATTATAATAGCAGCAAGGATGACTCTCAAAACATGACGTACAACTACCTTCAAAAGCAGCCTGGAAAAAATAAGGCCATCACTAAGAAGAAATGGAAATCACGTATATTCAGTTTCCTCCGCTGTTTTAGATGTTCCATTGTTTCTGATTGATAAAAACCAGAGACTCCAACCCGGCGTGGACATGGTGTGGGTCCCATTTTTGTGTTTTGAGAGAGGGGCCCACCTCCACTCACACAGCTTCAGCATCCGGATCTGAGGTACTACAACACATGTTTTGGTTTTTAGTTTAGGTTTGTTTATTATTTTATTTATCCTTTTGACTTTTCCGAATTGTATTAATTTGCCCTTCAAAGTTGATGGGCTCCTTTTTGTTGTGGGAACTGAAGCTGCTGTCGTTTTGTCACAAACATTTGTACAGAACTTAGGCAAAGATAGGGGGAAAAGGGAAATTTTTTGAGGTGAGATAAGGGGAAAAAAAAGAAATCATAAGGTCTATAAAAAGGTTCTCAATAAAGTTGGAGGTTTCCTTTGCTCAATTAGGTATAAACACATTTATTTTCTCATTCATGAGTTTTGATCAATCATGAGTGGTTTATGAGAGTCCACATGGGCGTGGTGTTATTTTTGCCATTATCAAACTATCAACATTCCAATGCTAAAAAGGTATGAACTCTCCTGTTGGTTGTGGGACATGTGGATGAACAGCTTCTTTATACAAGTTTTTTTTCTTTATTATTCTTTTGTTTTTAAAAGAAATGGTCTTATTTACCTGCGCTTAGGATATATTTTCATTAAAAAAAAAAAAAGGAAAAAAAGTGCTTAGGATATGATGGTGTTGAAACATGAATATGATTAAGGGTTCTTATGATAAAGTAATGTTAGAGATATAGGTTATGTTTGTTTCACAATAATTGTATACGTGAGAGAAAAACACATGTAACAGAAAACAAAAAAGTTAAAAGTTGAATTTGAATTTGTGTTAGAAAAAAACACTATAATAATAAACTTGGGTTGTGACTTAACTTGAAAAAAGAATAATAATAGAGTGAGTTTATGAATCATAATTTTTTTTTTAAAAAAAAGTGGTGATGATTTTATTTTATTTTTTAAAAGGTGAGAACATTACAAGTTATTATATGTGCCCAGGAGAAAAATTCTATCATTGGAATAAATGCCGTGCCAATGCAGAACTCTTTTTGTTTATTGCATTACCGGTATAACATGTAAAAAGAGCCTGTAATGAAATTTTGTCGTATAAGCCATTTTACTATCGCAGAATTGTGGGAGGAGGTAGCGTTGTATTATATTATTAATTAATGTCGAATGCATCATATCGATTTTTATTTTTTTTTGTCAGAAAACTTCTTTCTAGAGCGGGAAAAAACAGTGCTTCATGCTTATCCGAATGTGACATTCTTATTCAAAGATCAAAAAAAGGAAAAAGGACATTAATATTTTCCAATGAATCTGGATTCATGTTGTTGGAATATGCCCGTCACACGAAAAAAAAAAATCTATCTTTAAAAGTATATGAATTTAAATTTTTACTTTTTTAATTTTAATAAATATCTTTTTATTATTATAATTATTTAACTAAAAATTTATAAATAAAAATTAAAAATTAAAAATTATATTTCGTCCACTTTTAAAAGATTACTATAATTATTTAACTAAAAATTTATAAATAAAAATTAAAAATTAAAAATTATACTTCGTCCACTTTTAAAAGATATTTATTAAAATTATCTTACTACTTTTGACTTTACAATTATCCGATTACAATTTAGAGATAACTAGTTTTGTACCCGTGCGTTGCTGCGGGAAAAATTTTTATATTGTATTAGAAGCTTGAAATTTTTTTCGTGCAGTATTAGTTTGTATATACATATTAATGTACATATATTTATATAAAATGTTAACAAAAAACTACAGTTTATATATACATACATGTATATAGATATTTATATTGCATGTCTATCAAAAACTTTTTTGTTGGATATTACATTGGTTGTTTTTCTTTTTTTTTTTTTGTGCTTCTTCGGAGCTGCAAGATAAAAAAATATTTTAAAAAAATTAGTACCGATTTTTAAGAAAGTTTAAATAATTTTAGTCGTATAAAGTGTTAATTAAAGGATTTAGAAATAGTGATATTACCTGGTTCTTGTTTTTTTTTTTTTTTTTTTTTTTTTTTGAATTGCTCTATTGGTCTTGATTCAAAGTTGAAATCATAATCAAATATATTATAAAAATTAAAGTATAATATTCATTAATAATTGATATTAATTTATAAATATGTCATACCTAGGATTTTTGGGTCTATTGTTGTGGTGGTTGGTATATGTGGTGGATGATGAGAAAAATGCCGAGGATGATAAGAAAAATGAAGTGGAAATAGATATTGAAAATAGTAAAATGAAGTAAGTTTAAATTAAGCAAGTATCAAAATCTTGTTGGCTTTGGTTTCAAAAGATTAGGAAGAAACAAAAGTAACACCGAGATTGTTTTGCTAAACGATAATGGATAAAATTAGGATGAAAAACAAGAAGAATTATTCACAGCAATTTATGGGCATATTATATCAAACTCAACAATAATCAAACTCAACCGATCAAAATTAAGTGTAATCATCATTGCCACAGACAAAAACAATATGAAAAGTAAAATATATACATATACACGTAATCATGAATGAAATAAACAGAATCAGAGCATGAGAGAAAACATTGATGAGGATAAAAAAAAATGGTACAACAAACAGTGCAAAATAATAGCACCATAACAAGCTATAAATCACCAAAGAAAGGTCAAAGACGCCAACTTTAAAAGATGGAATAACGAATAGATCATCATCGAATGAGGCAATCAAAAAATTATAAAAATCAGTACAAAATTAAGAAGCAAAAAAAGGGAAGGAATGGACATAGTTTCAGCCAAAAACTATCTATAACACCGGAATTGAGAAGTACAAATCATATCCAATTCAATTTCTAAAGGAATTACATAGCTATAAATCAATATAATAGCGACATATCAAAACAAATATGAAGTGAACCAACGAAAACAATAATAGCAATAGAATAAGATGAAAGGAAGAGGAAAATAAGATATCCAACCTATCTTCAAGAACACTATAACAGATAAAATAAAGTAATAGCACCATAACAAATTAATACATTTAATGTAAATAGAAAAATTTAAAAGATTATGATAAAGAGTTATGAATAATACCTGCAATACTGTAGATTATACTTTAAAGATGAAATACTAGCCAAACGAACAAAGCTCAAACATAGGGAGCTTAGAAAATTGACCAGCAAGTGGACTAAATTGAGCCACAACAACCAATGAAGGAAAATTATTAGAATATGTCAAAAAAAAAATTAAAAGAAAAAAGCCAAAGGAAAAAAAAAAAACATAACATCTTCAAATCATATTAGTCAAAGACCATAAAGAAGATAAGAAACCAAATCAGCAAAACATTCGCAGTAAGTTTTTGAAAAGATGACATAAAATCAAACATATGAAAACCTAGTATAATCATTATTGCCAGTTATGAAAATCAAATGAAGAGAACATATATATACAAATGTATATATACAAACACAACCGTGAAATAGATAAGCAATAAATATATATATATATAAATGTATCAATGCTACATGAAACTTAAAAAGTAATAGCTATATATATATATATATATATAATAAACTCAAAAGAAAACAACGTAGACTTTTAACATTTATTTACAATGAAAATGGAAAGTTTCAAGCACTGTCAGAAGTAAGACGAGTAACTAATATCCAAACAAATCAATATATTCAAGATCATAAATACAAATTAAGAACATATGAACAAAGAATATTAAGCATACCTGAAATGTCGTCAATGTTGTCTTACGTAAGCAATATCAACCAACAACACATAAGCGAAAGGGACAGATTTAAAGCAGCAGAGCAGTAAGTAGAGTAAGGTAATATAGAGCATTAACTATGGAGTCGAAAAGGAAAGGCACAGATTTCTTATAAATAAGATATATATATATATATATATATAACGATAAAGGAATCAGACTCAAACAGTAATCAACCAATAACAGAATAACAGCTATTACTTCATAGTCGGTGGCAAGAAACTGGAAAAGTTTTTTTTTTAATTAAATAAAAGAATAAAGGCAGTATAAAAATAAATATTGGAACAAAACGAAAGAAAAAAAAAAGAGAGGAAAGTCTTAAAAATAAAACGAAGAAATTGTAACAAAGAAGAAAAAAATTCAGCAAGGTATTTTCTTTTTTTTTTTTCCCTGAATTTGCTAAGCATTTTTTATACACCAAAAGAATAAAAATATCACAGTTTCATTTAATGCTTCTGTTAAAAAAGAAAATACAGACCATTAAAGGAACAATACGAACAAATCATATCACTATTACACGTCACTGAATCAACAAATGTGAGAAAAACTTATCTGGACAAAACTCAGACAACCAAAGGAAAAAATCCAACCATTACCATCGGAAATCGGGGATCAGAAACATGCAAAATAAGAAAAAAAATCCTGCATTAACCTGTAAGAATCAGCCACGAAAAAATGCAAATACATAGATATAGATTCATCAAGACAGAAAGAAATGAGCTTACCAAAGAAATTAAGATATGATAAAAAATTTAGCATTTATCAACAATTAATTTCACTGATGGAAAACAAAAACAAAAAATCAACAGATTAACCAATAAAGCAAAAAATCATTCTTTTTTGAAACCCTTAAAAAAAAAATAAGAAACAACCCTGCAAAGAACACAACGGTGAGAAAAAGAAGAAGAAGAAGAAGAGAAAGAAAGAAAAAAAAATTCCACTGAAAATCCTAAATCAGAGTAATGCAAAACCAACATCAAAGACAAAGAAATAAACCCCCAACCCTCAAGAGAAAAAAAAAAAACTGAGCATAAATAAAAAGCCTAATAAAAAAAATCGAAGACAACAAAGGAAGGAAAGAAGCAAACGACAGAAACTTGCACCGAATCCACCAAAAAAAGGGCCACCCCTAAACAGAAACAAATCAACGCAAGAGGCAGAGGAAATGAGAGAGAGGCGGAGGAAAAAATGGCACTAGAAACGTAGAAAGAGAGATAATGGCTTAGTTTGGTAATGCCGT